CAGACATATGAGAGAGAGAGAGAGAGAGAGAGAGAGAGAGAGAGAATGTATGTGTGTATACAAAATGAGGATGAGGAAGGGGGAAGATGGGTCAGTCAGTAAAGTGTTTTCCATGCAAACAAGAGGACTGAGTTAGACCCTCAGCACTCTTGTTAAAAGCCAAGCATGACGGTGAGTACTCCTAATCCCCATCCTGAGGAAACAGGAGTATCCCAGAGCACATTGGCCAGCCAGCCATACTGACTCAGTGATCACTAGATTACAGTGAGTGACCCTATCTCAAAAAAAAATAAAATAAAACCAACATTCTATTATACTGCAGCAACCATTTTATTATATATATGTCTTGTAACATCATGTTGTATACATTAAACATAAACAATAAAATTTATATTAAAAAAAAACATGGCAGGTACTTCCTGAAGAATGACATCAGAGGTTGACTTCTGGCTTCCATATGCATGCACAGAAATGTAAACACACACGCACGCACACACGTATGCACACACACAAGCGCCCACACATATAAATTTTTTTTGAGTTTTCATATCTTCAAGCATGGGCAGATAGTTTTGTCAGTAAAATGTTTGCTATTCATGCATGAGAACCTGATTTCCATCCCCAGAACCCATGTAAAAAAAAACTGGGCATGATGACACACTTATAATCCCAGCACTGAAAAGATGAGGCTCACTGACCAGCCAGCTTAGTCTACATAGTGAGTCTTAGACCAAGAGAGACTCGGCCTCAAAAAACAAAGTGGTGGCACCCAAGGTTGAATTCTGCCTCCATATGTACACCTATGCCCACATGTACACATACACGTACACACACACACACACACACACACACACACACACACACACACACACTACTAAAAGTTTTAGCAGTCTGGCGTGATTTCTTGTGTTATATTGTATCAGTAATTTAGTGCCCCACTGTCCTTGGGGGAAGCTTTTCCATCCTTAAGTCCCAAATTTTGAGTGGGGCTAGCCTCAAATCTTCCTGAAGAAGTAGAATTGACCCAGGCTTTACTCAATCAGTGCATTCAATTCCTAGGGCCTGCAGCTATCTGTTGGCTGGTGTCAGTAAATGTGAAATGTAAGACTCCCATTGAAAATACCCATTGAAAATACCTGAGTTAGGTGGCTGATGCCTTAAATTCCAGTATTAGGGAGGCAGAGGCAGGCAGATCTCTCTGAGTTCAAAGCCAGCCTGGTCTACATACCAAGTACCAGGCAAGTTAAGGCTATATAGGGAGATCCATGTCAAACACACAACCAAAAGAAAACAGTGAAAACACAGAGGGCTTTAGCACTTGGAACACTTGTAATTGAATAAAGAGGTTTGATACCCTCTTGGAGGAAGCTATGATGATGAGCAGGTTTCCAGGTGAGTTTGGTAGGTGAGGACATGTCTATTACTACCTTGTCCATGGCTCTACTAATTCCCTCCCCTAATGGACTGTGGTCACCTGTATTCCCACTGCCCCCTCCCCCGCACCCCCAGATGGTCAACTCTTGAGGGAAGAAGTTACATCTCCAACATGCTGGATCCTGGCGCAGAAGATGGAGTTAAATGCATGTCTGCAACAGTAAATGCATGTCTGACAGGAACTGTGCTGATGGCTCAACAGAGTGGAGCTGAAGACACTGTGGTTCTACCACTGGCACCTCGGGTTTCTCACACTCTCACACCTCTACTGGCCCATGCCAGACCCTACAAACCCCACCCTGCACCCCAGTGTTCCTGCTGTGGGCTGTGACAGGTGGTTATCTGTGAATCATCAGCTGTGGGTACACTGTGCTCACTGCATGATTCTCACACAGCCACTCAGAAAACGCCAGGCAGAAGCAGTCAGGGTGGGGAGCTTTCATATGAAGCCTACTGTCATGAAGTGTATAAAAGCAGGAAGCAGAGGGTTGCTGCCCAAGCCCACCTCTTTCCTCTCCTGGAGGTTAAAAGGCAGCAGGGACAGAGCTCCAGAAACTCAGACCTGGTCACCCTCCCAGGGAAGATGCAGCGACTCCTGATCCTGTTGGCTTTCTTTCTACCCCCCAGGATGAGGGCAGGTAAGTGGACATCAATTTCTTAGTGGCCCAGTGTTATTCTACAGCAGGCGCAGACACCCCATCTCTTCTGCACATAGTCTCTAAACGTAAGCTCCAGTCTTCCCACGGAAACCAGGTATGACAAGATATGTTATTGGTGGGAGCAGGAGGGCGGCAGGCTTTGAAAAGAGAACCTGGGTGCTTTTCCCTGCCTAGTGCCACACTTGTCATCTGGAAAGCAGAGCTTTTCTAGAAGTACATGGTAAAGGATGGGAATCTCCAAAGCAGAAAACATTAGATTCTCCTGGAGCAGGCAGGGTGGGCCTGGCCTCTGTCTGTGATGAGTCAGTTTTTCAGTATTCGTGGAATACCTGAGTGGAGCTCAGTGACCTCAGAATTGATGGGATCACTGTCCTCAGAGCTGAATCCCACGCCACTAGGTCCCTCTCTGCAACTCTGTGTTACCCAGGCCTCGGTGGTTTCCTGGTTTCAAGCAGGAGCCCCTGTGCCAGGGCCTGACTTCTCTGCTTTCTAGAATCCCAGAAACCTCCATAGTCAGGAGGGTGTTCGTCATGTCATGAAGCCAGTGAATTTACTGAGCACCCACTTCGTCAGGCCTTGGGAAATAGGATGCCACAAAATGTAAACTGAGATCAGTCCTGACCACTAGAAAGCAGCCCTGGCTCAGCTGCTGTAGACTCAGGAGAGTCTTAAAACTCCGGGAAGAGAAGTCAGAAGGGCCTGAGAAGCCCCTGGGATTTCACTGTCCAGAGATTGGAACGCTCACCAACAGCTGAGTAAAGATTTGCAGCCTTTCTCCCCTTTTGCAGAGGGGAATGTGACTGTGCTCTCTCAGCCCCCTCCCAGCTCGAGGCCATTCCAGGCTCCCAGCAGGTCCCAAATGTCCAGCAGGTCTGGAGTCATCACACAAAGCCCACCTGCTGGATTGGCAGGTGCCCACAAGAAGGCTGGGTTCCTCTACAGGGGAGATCATCGGGGGACATGAGGCCAAGCCTCACTCCCGTCCGTACATGGCCTTTGTCCAGTATCTTGATGAGAATTCTGGGGAGAACCAGTGTGGGGGCTTCCTGATACGGGAGGACTTTGTGCTGACCGCTGCTCACTGTGATGGCAGGTGAGAACCAAGGAACAGCCCATACACTCCTGGAACATTCCACAGAGACCCCTGTCTTGTTCCCTAGGTGCTCCCTGGGATGCTAGGAATGCATGTGAAATCCTTCATGGAAGAGACATGTGCCAGCCACATCTCATGGAAAAAGACAGGATGGCACCAGAGTCTTTGCTAAGTAATCAAGCATGCCATGTTTAGGCCTAGGATGGCATTGCAATACTACCTGAAACTATTTCATGTGCTTCCTTGTAGTTGATTGAACTCTGATAAACCCTGGTGCAGACACTGGGGCTTCAGAATTCCATCAGCTCACAGATAAGTAGCAGAGGCACAGTCACTCCTGTCCTCTCGAATCCCCTCTGCTAGAGCCCCACCCTGCCCATCCCAACCAGCCCTTCTCACCTCCTGGGCTGTATCCTCTCTGACTGCATCCCTCCTCCCCACTGTGCTCTCTGTGCAGCCCAATGAATGTCACCCTGGGGGCCCACAACATCAAGGGACAGGAGAAGGAGAAGACCCAGCAGGTCATCCCTGTGGTGGATCGCATCCGCCATCCGGAATATAATCCTAAAACGCTAGTCAATGACATCATGCTGCTGAAGGTGAGGCCTCCCAGCTGCCTTGGTCTGCCACTGCAGGCTTGTCCCTCCTACTCTGACCCGCCCCTTCCCTCCCTTCCTTCCATCCTGCCCTTCATGGTGTCCCAGCCCAGAAGGCCACTGGCTGAGCTGGACTCCTGTTCTTCTTCTCCATCAGCTGAAGAGCAAAGCCCAGCGGACTAAGGCTGTCCAGACCCTCAAGCTGCCCACAGGCAAGGCCCAGGTGAAGCCAGGGAGTGTGTGCTATGTGGCTGGCTGGGGCGACACAGACGCAAGGGGAACACCCTCAAACACACTGCAAGAGGTGAAGATCAAAGTGCAGGCAGACCAGCTCTGTGAGTCCCGCTTTGCAAATTATGACAAGGAGGACCAGCTCTGTGAGTCCAGCTTTGCAGATGATTACAACAAGGCCACACAGATGTGTGCGGGAGACCCAAAGAAAAACCAAGGTTCCTTTGAGGTGAGTCTGATCATCTACCTCTCGTGGCTCACTGGGAGGGGAAGGGAGACTATGGGACCTGGTGACACAAACAGCAAGGGACTCCTTCACCCACCAGCTGTGACCCTGCTCTGAGAAAAGATTAGGAGCAGGTGGAACTGGGAATCAGCTAGGTCCTCTGTTGAATCTGCTCTTCACAAGAAGGAGTTTGCACAAGCTAAAGTCCCAGGCTTAAGACACTGCTTCCTGAGTGTGTCATGACCAGGTGACTCTTCAGAGTGGGCACTTGCCTTCTCAATGGCTCATGCCCCACGCTGACATCAGGTGCATTCACCTCAGCCCTGTCCTTACATGGGAGCCTGGAGATGATGGTCCAACCCTCAAAGGGGGTGGATCACAGGACCTGGGGAGAGCACAGAGGCTAGCCCAGGAGTGAGGTGATGCAGTTACTATGCCCATAGCCAGAGCACAGAAGCCCAGGGCCGCAGGAGCGAACCTACACTCTAAAGTTCACAATCAGAATGTATAAGTCATCATTCTCTGAGTGTATGTTTGGGATAAGAGGGAGGACAGGCCTGGGAGGAGGAACCAGCTCAGTTCTCCCCCTCTACGTTCACAGGGCGATTCAGGAGGGCCCCTTGTGTGCAAGAACGTGGCCCAGGGCATTGTCTCTTATGGACCTCCACACGGGATAACTCCAGGAGTCTACACCAAAGTCTCAAGTTTTCTACACTGGATAAAGAAAACCATGAAACGCCGCTAAGTACAAGAGACAAAATAGACCCTTTATTTAACCATCCACCAGACATAGGAGAGGTCTCTTAGCCCAACACAATAAATGTCTCTTAGCCCAACAGGAAAGCTGGTTTCTTGTTTATTTGTCCGCCTCCATCCACAGGCACCAACTCTAAGCTAGGCAACCAGTGGCACAATTCTGCTGTTTTTCTGCTCCAACCTCCCATCCCCAATGATGCGGGCTCAAAGCTCATGCGAAACTCATACCCAGCACGTACGTTCCTGCCCCAGTCTCTCCCGTGTTCTCGTTCTGATGGTCCTGATATCATCAAGAGAAAATCTCTTATCCTGGGGCTCAGGGTACATTTCTTATACCTGTGTTCTAGGAAGAAGAGAAAGGGAAGATACATGGGTCCTGGAGGCCAAGCAGACAGTGAGGCCACTGAGCCTTACCCCATTAGGGAGGGGAAGGGCCTTCCTGGGCAGAACATCTCTTTCCCACAGCTTCAGGATTCAGGTGCAGCTGTTTGAGTGGCTCCTTATTCTAATCTGGAATCTGTTTCCTTCCCCATCCTCCTCTGAGAACAGGACAAGCTAGGTCTCCACCCTCCTGGCTTTCCCCTGTTCTCAATCCCAGCTCAGAGTTCTGAGTCTCCCAACTTCTGTGCTTCTCAGACCACGCTGATCTGAACAGGTTCCTTCCTCTTCCATCCTCCTACATAGAACACAGGATCCCCCTGTGATTCCATTAGTCCTCAGGCCTAGAATGCCGCCACCAAGGGTCCTCACATGGACCAGACCAGAGCTGACACCATGGTGGGGCCACGGAGGGCAGGCCTGGCATGTCTTTCCCCAGATTTCCATTCCAGCTCCCACATGGTCAAGCCCAGTGCAGCTCTCCTCATCCAGCTCAGAGCCTTCCCATCTCCTGAGTGCCCACTGGAAGCTGATCACCCAGCAGCACAGGCCCTCACAGCTTGTCCATCCTAGTCACCACTGACACTAGGCTGGGACTCCCGCTGGTCAACTGGGCTTTCAGTCTTTTACATTCAAAAGGACAGAAGATTTTCCACTTAATTAGCAAAGAGGGTATGTATGATGCTTGGAAATGACTTTAGACAATAATCTTCTAATGTGAAGTTGCCAAACTATTCACAGAGCATCCTTCCACCTAGAGGAGAGGGCGGCACGTGGGGAATAACACACTAGACAACTGTGCTTCATTTGTTTGAACGACATCAGCTGTCACTGCACAGATTCAAACTGCAGCATGCAAACATACTCAGAAATAGAACTCAGAAACAGAATTAAACCTGAAACAAGGAGGTTGAAAAAAGGGAGTAAGAGAAAAATGTTGGGGAGAGGCGCATCTAATGTTGAGACATTACTGTTACAGCCATGGTTTCCAAGACTACCCAAGCTTCTCATTGTTAGGGAGTTCTTGGCATGGATGCCATTCGAGGAAATCTGACGTTTGTCTCCCTGTGTTGGACTTTCTTTGCCATAAAATCCTAGCAGCCCTTGGATTTCTGGAACTTTCATGGTGGATCAGGTAACTTTCACAGGCATGCTCTTACAGAGGAAGAGCAGTAGGTGTCACTGGGCTTCTGAATGGAAGACGGGAAGGTTAATCCTGCCCTTGAAATATATTAAGGACCTGGTTCCTTCCTAGGGTACAGGGGAGAGAAATGCAGATTTAAAAAAAAAAAAAAAAGGTATTCTTTGTATATTACACAGTCGTATATATAGTCAATTTAGTCTTATGTTTACTTTGAAGAAATGATTCTGTGGCTTAAAATAACTTTGAAACTATTGTTGTGGGTCCCTCAGAGAGGTGAGAGAGGTAACTTCCCAGTAAAAGGTAGTGACTGATCCTACTAACAGTATCAAAACAACGAGTACAAACTAGTCTGATTCCAGCCCCACCCCAAGAAGCAGCTTTAAATGCCATCTAACCCCCAGCCCATTGTTGGGGACCCTGCTGTTTTAGGGTCGCAGTCTCTCCATGTCCGGATAGCCGCAAGCCAGCTCGACGTTCTTATGCAGAGACTCCCCTTTCCAGCGGGCGCCTTCTACTCTCTTCCTGACTCACCTTTGAAGCGGCAGTCACAGATACATGACCTCTGGCACAGAAACTGCAGGTTTTTCAGGCAATGTCTGACAGCCTGATAGAAGCCCACCGCCACATGTAAATGGGGCATCCTACAAAGCACCTATCAACTGAGGCTTTTGCTACTGCCCCCACACTATAAATATCCTGATTTCACCCCAATAAAGCGGAGCTGTATCACTTGTGTGGAGCTGAGCTGTATCACTGAACTTGTCTGAAGCTGTATCTGTGTCTCACTGCACCTGTGATACAATCTCCCCGGAGGGGGCTGTCCTTCCATCAACAACCACTCCCGAAGGTCTTGCTTTCGCAGTTCCTGCACCTCCCCTCGTGATCCGGTGGCCAACAGATCTCGTACACAGAGGAAGTGTCCGGCAGCTTGGAACGGAACCCGCCCGGCGGCGGATAGCGACCCGCAGAGTCGCCAGCGCCCGGTAGCCGCCGAGAGCCTGGGACCCACACAGCAATGCGGTGCGCGAAACCCGCGCACCCCAGCGGCGCGAGAGGGACCGGCGCCACGCCAGCAGCTGGCGCTCCGAGATCCCCGCGTGCCCACAAGCCCACGATGGCTTCCTGGCATTCCCTCACAAAATAGAGCCCTGCTCAGATAGCTCCCTGGGGAGAAGGTCCCTGGGCCCCTCCCACAGCTGCATAGTGAGCAATATTCAAAGCCACCTTCCCATGGGCACATTGGAGTGGATCTCAGAGTCACCTAAGTGTTATAAATACATGGACTGTTTCCAATTTCTCCAATCTATGGAAATATTCCCCTATTCTGACCGTTTGAAAAACGTGTACCCTCCCTTGCTTAAAATCTCTGCTACAGCCTTACTGAACCTAGGAAAGGAAATGCTTCAGTTAAGACCCAGCCTCTGTGCTTCTGTGCCTCCAGGTTATTACAGGAGGTCAGTACCAGCACAGCCAGGCAGAACTGCAGATGTCCTGGAGGACACAGTCCAGGCCCAAAGAAATGCAAGGTCTTCCTGATTTGTGTCGGGGAATACGAATTGCCGTGACTCCTTTTCTCTGTACAAATTTTCCACCTACCAGTGTATATTCTGTGGACTTATAGAATGTACTGGATTCTTTTCTGAATCTGCATCCCACATAATCCTGCTTTTGACCAACAAATATATTTTGCCATGACAGACATGCAGAACTACGTTCATTTGCCATATTGTTCAGAAGTAATTGACCTAAAGGGGAATTGTGGGATACATCCTGAAGAAAACCATAGTTGAAAGACAACTCTCTGCAAGATCAGGCTGCAGTCCTGTTGGAAACCTCTGTTATGCAAAGTGGAAGCCCCTTCACACCGGACAGCTCATGCAGCTCAGGATCATGTGCTGCAGGCTCCTTTCATAAGCAGGGTGTCTTCCTGGCATCTTTCCTGTCTCTCCGCCCCAATGAATATGGTTTCCACCCTAGAATTAGAATAGGTGGTTTCCAGATATAAGGGTAAGGGCATAGACTGCCCTCTAGCAATGGCTCATACTCAAGAGTGTTTACTTTTGAGCCAGTTGAAATAACACACACCTGTAATCCCAGGACTTAGTGGCA